CTAATGGAGAGTGAGGGCTTTGTCCTTTTAATACAGTCCCTGGCCCTGGTGCTGTAGCGTGTCAGTCATGGTAATTCAACCCAAAAAGGCAGGACTACAATGCCCTGTCCCCACTGGAATTTATTTCAGGTAGGGGCATCCAAAGGGGTGCTCTACAGGAGTGCTACCAGCACCACCTTCTGCAACACATCTGACCTCCTATCCCTCCCCATGTTAGCAGAAGGAAGGTTTCAGTGCTGTCTGCAACCTCAGGCTTGCTTTCTGGCCGGCTTTTCTCCGCCAGCAATGACTCCAAGAGAAGCTGGTGAAGGCCATGGTATGAATTTAGCCCTTTCTGGCTGTGTTTCTCCATCCGTCAGACAGACACAGTCCTCTACTTCACAAGGGTTTTGTGAGGATTAATTAGTTAATGTGTTTACAGTGCTAAGTATGATTTATTATTTAAAGATCCTTAAGCACAATATTTCCCTCTGCTACTCTAAATTCCTGGGGACCACACGCACTCTCTAATGCCTGGCTGCGGCAGTGAGAGTGAAGTCCTTTGCACTATTTTCAGACAGCTGCATCCCACGTCAGGTTTGCTGCTGACTCAGCAGATTCTCTAAGGGTTGCTTCAGGATGCCTGAAAGCAATTTTAGCACCGTTGCACTGAATTCTCCTGAGCACAGAAATTACTAGGAAGGAAAAAGGATTCCTTTTCCAATTTAAGCTTTATATATTCATAAAAAATAAGTGTTGGTAAATTTGCACCTTTTACTGCTCACTGCTAAATATGTACTATTTCTAATTGTTTCCATTTCAGTCATGACTTGTGGTGTTATAGAGCAGTGATTCTCAAAATTTTGTACCAGGACCCATTTGTAAACATCGATGGCCAGTCCCGACCCACTGACCCTCACTCACAAACCACTGCCCCCGGGTCCCAACCCCCAGTTTGTGGGGCAGCAGCGGGGGACAGGAGGGGCGTGGGGGGCCCCAAGCAGCCCCTTGCTGGCTGGATCTTCACCAACCTTCAAGGGAAAAGCCATGGTTCCCCACATTTTTCTCCTTTATAGGAAATCCATTTTTAAAGTTTGTTCATGACCATTTCATATAGTCTTGTGGCCCACTTTTGGGTTGCTACCCATGGGTTGAGAAATGCTGTTATAGAGCACCCTCCCACCCAAAGGACTGCAGCAGGATTACTTTGCAATATTAATTTGGAGTGAGAGAGAAGTCACACCCTGTTGTGTATATATAAGCCACAGGACTGAGATCACTCACTAATGAAATCCAGCTGCCTCTGGAGCAGAACACACACACTGTTTAACAGGGTACAGAAAAGTCTTAGCAGTCATTTTAAGAGCAAAGACTACTCTAACCAGTTGGCATTGTTTGAGGAACCTGATGAAGTTGCATGACATGCAAGATCAGTTTATGTGCCAGCCATTCTCAAGAGATTTTCTGTGATTGCATTAGTAGTGATTTCTGTAGGGATATGAGCTATAACTTGTATGCAGTTTGTAGTCACCATTTTAATTACGGCTCCACGGTGTCCAAGTAATTCCCCCACCCACAGTCTTCCTCAACCTCTGAGAAGACTCTTACCCACAATATGGTGATTCCCTCCCTTCCACGATCATCTCCCCCTCCATCCTCATCTGCACTGTCTTACTGCTTTCCATAACACTAGAAGCTCCTTCTTCCCCATTCCCACCTGCTGTGGTTCCCTCTCACCCTCATCCCTAATACTTAAGACTGACCCAGGTACCGCTTAGAATATCTGCATGCAAATCTTGTATCTAATAATGACAGAAGATGCCCAGGACCCAGAAAAAGGCTCACAGGTCACCTTTTCATAGGGTCTGACTTCACATGCTCTTGAAATCTAAGTTGCTCCTACTCTCTTGCCATTTAAATAGTGTACCTTTATAAATAAGTCCATCACAGCACATCATGCAGCAGCATCCATACAGTGCCTCTCTTTGTTACAGTGATCAGTCAGAGGTTTATAGAAATGATAACTTGCACATTAAGGCAAGGGCCAGCTGTAAGGTCAAGGTCTAGTGAAGGCAGAGCTTGAGGGAGATGGGGAAAAGAAGACACTCACAAGGACTTTGGAGAAAGAGGCTCTTCTGCTCAAGAAAAGAAGACAAAGAGAGCCCCTGAGGAAATGAGGCAAGGGACCAACAGCCTCGGGTTGCCAGGACAGAAGCAGCCTAATAAAAATGGAGCAGAAATAGATTCGGTCTGATTTTAATCTTGCTTACGCCAGGGTAAATCAGGTCAGACTTACACAGACGTAAAATCAATGTGTAACTGAGAATAGAATTGGGCTCAGGACACTTCGGGCTATTTTGAGGCAGTTGCTTAAGGCAGGACATTGCTTAGTAAGGGCAGCTGCATATAGTGGTGTTATAGTACTATTAAAAATCAAGGTGTGGGGAGGGGAAGGGGAAATTCAACAGTGTTTTCTGCAGGGGAGCTTTCCTGTTCACCTTGAGGAGATGTCCATGTAGCTGTTTGTCTAGGTCTATACCGGATCCATCACCCTTGTACCTCAGGATCTAGTTTACTAAATGTGTTCATCCAAGTTCTCAGCCTCTCTTGCTCAAAGCCCAAGGGTAACCGAAGATGACTAATCGTCCATTCTGAAATGGAAACAATTGGAACAGCCCCCAAAACTAACTGCAAAGGGTTTTAGAGCCAAAATGTTTGTGTGTTGCAGTTTTGTTTTTACTTATTATTAGCATTTTGGAAAAGTTTCTTTAGGCAATTTATCAACAACTGCTTAAACTTGCATTAATAATAGCAGCATTTGGCTAATTATTATTATTAGGCTATAAGCCATTGTTCTCCTCTGTCCTCTTAAATGAAACAGGCGAGTTCCTGAAATTGAAAGGCTATGATTTCCACTGGCACGGAGCACAAACCGAGCAAGAAACCTGGCACCATAGGGCGTCCTTTGAACAATGGGACTGAAAACAGTAACACCCTGATGTACAAACCAAAACAGAGGGTTGGTCTAATGTCTAATCAATTCTGAAATGCACCAAGGACCTGGCTGCTGAAATGCCTTGACAGTCGGAAGCAGAGCTCTGGAAATGAACACAAAGGCAATACAAGGGCATGAAAATGGGAACCTGCTCCTGGTAAGTAACTTTAACTGTAGATGAACTGAAATCCAGAGATCAACTCCAAAGGAAACCTACCTAAACAAGAGCTGCAAACGTATGAAGGAGATATGGAAGGCATGTCCAATGCAGTGGCAAAATATTTAGTCACACCAAGCAGCATGGAAAACATCTTATGGCCTCAATGAATATATATTGTTTTTGCACGATGGTCCTACTTGAGATTATGTAAATAGGGGTATCCTGACAACTGGAGAGAAAAATGAGTGACTTAATATATTCTTTCCTTCAAAAACTTACTTATCCTGATCTTAAAGGATATAACTGATGATAAGCTGAAAAAAAGACTATAATGATGTGGTATTATTAAGGGTTTGGGGGTTTTGTTTTGTTTTGGTTTTTTTTTTTAAGTAGGGGATTACACTTAGAAATTTGTCCAGGGCACAAGGTGGATCCAAATCTTCACAAAGTTAAGTTGACTTTCACTGAAACTTAGGAGCCTATTTGTCTAAAATTATGGACATACAACCAACTTGCCACTTGTAAAAGGGAATGGGGATTATTTGCCACTCATCTGCTGCTCTGCTATAAGTGTCCCAGGTGCACTCTTACCCCAGTGTAGGTGGAAATTAAACTCTGGCAACTTGTCTTTCTCACCAAGGGCTATGACACTGAAGTTTAGCTCCAATTTCCACTTACTACTGTGGAGTAGCCGATGTAGAAAATCATCATTGCTACAGTACAGCCAGTGGATCCATGTTCCTTATCCTGCAAGGCTCATCACAGGTCTGGAAACTGAGCAGTGTGGAGAGTGGGTGTAGTGCTAATCGGAGTGTGAAGCTGTATTATCTGGCTCGCAGGACCAGAAAACTGGCTGCAGGAGGAGCGATAGCTGCCGTAGCTGTGGGAGCCACAGCAATTAACACCGCTGCCAGGTTCCAGCTGTGAGGGCCAGATGACGCAGCCCTGTGCTCTGACTCTGGCCCCAAGCCACTCATGGGCCCATGGGGCCAGATGTGTTGGGCACCACTGCAGTAAATTTTTTCCCCACTTTCTCCTGTGGCAAATTGTCCATGTCGCACGGCACTTCTGAAAGTGGGATTTAGGCTCCTAAAATTGCCCAGGTGCTTGAGAAACCTTCAGCACCTTCACTGAGAAAGATGAAACAAAGAATGAGGTCACAGTCCAGCAAGTGAATTGATTGCTCTGCCTCCCTGAGAGTCAGCAGGTTGGTGTAGATTGGGTCAGCTGGTCTTGTGAAGCTGGCTGCTGATCACACCTGGCCCACCTGAGTCCACTGGAGCCTGGGAGGCAGCTCTGGCCTCATCCCCAGCACCTGCTCTTAGACCCACCAGTGACCGAGGACTCAACAGTGAGTGCTGAGGATGAGTCCATTGCAGTCTCACTAGGAAATGTCCAGCTCTGATGCAAGTCACTAGACTCAGGTGGGCAGGGCATGCTCAGTCCCCTGTTCCCAGAGATCTGCTGCTGATGTGGCACAAGCCCAGCAGGGCCCTGAGCAGATGGGAGGGTCTGCCTGCATGGATCCAATAGCAAAATCCAGCCCTAAGATTGGATGCAGTATGGTGAGTGAGGACAGCAAACACTGGAAACAGGAAAGAAAGATACAGTTCTTGCTAACTAGCAGCTAAATTGCTTATGTACCTTTCAGACTCATTATAGTGATATCTTAAATATCGTCCTGGGTTATTGTAACTATTACTGGGAGGCATCTGGAGGGGAGGAGGGAGGAAAAACAAAGAAGTATTATCCATCCTGAGGCTCCGGAGTGGTTGACGTTTCAGTTATCTATGGCGGTTTCCTTGTTTTCAGAACAAGTGTATGATATCACATCCTGAGTCCTTCCCTTTTCTCCTTGCCCTTTGAAGCATTACAAGTCTAGCCACAGCCACTGCGTGAACTGGCCTGGAAGAGCTGATTGCACGGAGCTGCTCTTGCTACTGCCTGCCTGCCTCACTCGTGCTCTTTTGAACACGGCAACAAGAGGACAAGCAGCCCTTCTGAGCACGGTGAGCAACAACTAATTAAGCAAATGTTTTCTCTGGGTTGTAAAACCGCATCATGAAGAATGCACAGATGTAAACTTAGTTGCATATAGGCTGGGGCAGTTTATGAAAATGAAATGAAAACAGCCCACTTTCATTTTTCATTATGGAAGTGAAAAAGGAACAGTCGCATTTCCTGACACAATAACTGAAAGAGGGAGCTGCAGTGGACATGTTGTCCAATGTCCAGAGCCTGAGTCAACTGTGGGAGGAATGGGACACATTTGAGGTCTAAGATGGCATGCCATTTGTTGGGAAGAGATGGGAAAAAAAACAATTGTTTCACTGTTTATGCCAAGCTCTGGATGAAAACTTTGCAAAACCATTGTATGACAGGCACCTCTTTATTGATATGCTGAATCTCCCTAGATTTAAAAAGCTTAATAGTACTAGATGGTAGTAAACACAATAAAAAGGAAATAAAAAGGCCATTTTCCTCTGCTAATCTTGGTTCATCCCAAAAGCATACAGGTTGAGCAAACATATTGAGCATGAGTCACTGACTCTCCTTCGCATAACTACAGCATCTTTTTGTTCCTTCTGCACTTACCTGGATCTAGGGCTAATTTAGAGCATTGGAGGATCTAAGTGTAAATAGTTCTGTTCTTGGCCTGGAGGCTAAGACTTCATAAATTAGGTGCCTCTAAGGGGAAATACACTGGAAATACAATAATAGCCACACCCAGCATAAGAGATGTTTTAGTGAGGACAAGTAATCAACCTGCATTACCATTTCCAGAGCCACGCTGCAGAAGTTATTTATTAACGCAGAGCTTTGCTTTCTCCAAAAGAGACCTAAGCTTCACATTTTTCTTAGTTTAGCTGCTTAGCTTGAGGCCAGCACTTCCCACTCACGTTCAGTGAGACTGCACACAAAGTAAGGGGCTCAATGTGGGTATGGTGGAATAGACTTTACAATGGCAGATTCATATCCTTGTCCAGATTTTAAATATCAACATTCAGTATAAGATTGTAACTGCTATGTCAAATGTCCAACTCAGCCCTGATGCCATTAAAGCATCCTCTTACTAAAAGCTGGTGAGACCTGCACTCCTTATAACCCTAACCCTAACCCAGCCTGACTAACACCAAATTTCCACTTTTCCTTCAGAACCTGCAAAACCAAAGCTGGATTGCTTGGCCTAATCATGGATAGTATGCAAATGCTGTTCTGTTTTGTGTAGGACCTATTAAAAGCTGGTATTTCTGTGAGTGAAAGGGAGGGAACAACAAATGTGGCTAGACTTGGGGAAAGTGTGGGTTGTCATGTACCACCTCCCACAAAAGCCTTATTGATGTGTTCCATCTGCCTAGTGCGGGTCTCTTATTAAATAAGTCCTCTGATTGTATTGGAGTTTAGCAAGAGCTAAACTGTCATTAGGCAATCCCCAATATGTCATTTAACCCTTGCCATTGTGCTCCTTATCTATCTTTTCTATGCTTGATGCAGTTTTATCAGCTCGTTGATAGTGTCACCTGAGCAGAATAGTAGTGAGGATTATCTTTGTCTCTTGCTGTCTCCTCTGGCTTTTATAAATTTCGCAGTGAAGAATCAGAAGGTAAAGATCCTAGAATTCCTTGAAAACCAAAGCTAGACAACTCCGGGACACTCTTCCATTGCTAACATAGGTCTTTCTCTTGAAAAAGATGTGAGAGAAAAGCGCATTCAGTTCCAGACTACCTGTCTATTAGCACACAGAAGGATGCTGCTTGCCATTAGGAAAGCTAGGATGGCTTGTATGGGATCAGTGGTCCATGTAGTCCAGAACTCATGCTGGTTAGACATTCAAAAAGCCCAAGACAGTGCTGATCTAAGTTATGCGGCTTTCTGTAAGCAGTGTAGTTTAGATCAGTAGCGAACAGAACACACGTTCGCCCCTTGGTGGTAGGGGGACAAATTTTAGACCAGGTTCTGCCATTTTTAAACCAGTCTATGTCCTCTAATAGGTATAGACTGGTTTCTGATCATTTATACCAGTAAAAGTGTAATGTCTGTACCTGGCCTCTGTCTGACACTGATCAGTACTAGAAACTATTCAAAAGAGGAGTTTCTTCCTCTGCTCATCAGTTAGTGGTTGCTTTATATCCTGAAGCATTAGGAGTAATAATCCTTTTATTATTTCTAATGTAATTGTGGATAGTCTTATTTCCAATATAAATGTTCAGTCCATTTCTTGAATCCTCCTAAGCTTTTATTTTAGTGATATCATGTGGCAGTAAATTCCACAGATTATGTTTTATTCAGAAGAAAGTGCTCCCTTTCTACCAGATTTAAACTTGTTGACTTTTAAAATTGCATAGGCCATCAGTGTGTATCAACTTTTCCTGGAAAATGAGAACAATCCATCTAACCTTCTTTTAAACTTATGCCATACTGAAGAATGACCACTTATCTCTGCTTTTTTATTTGCAGTTACTTTGCCAGTACAGCCCATGTCTGTACCTTGCCTTTTAGTCCTCTGCTCCAAGGGACTTCTGTGACCAGCCATTGTATTGTTCACTGTTTTGTTGTCAAGCTCAAAAAATTCAGCTAGAGAGATTTGACTTAGTAGTTTAATCTTTATGTTTATCTCCACATTCAATAATAATTTCTGCAGCACTTACTATCTTGGATCTTGTAAGGATGCCCACACTTAGTTCATTAAGCCTTAGAAGATCTTGTGAGAGAGGCCAGTATCATGTCACCATATTTTACAAGTCATGTGGGGAGTGAAGCACAATTAAACTAAATGACTTCCTCAACATCACTCTAAGTTAGTAGCAGAGATGCAAACAAAACCTAGTTCTCCTTGACCTCTTGTCCTGTGCTCTCTACCAGACTAATCTGTAGTGATGCCTAAAACACTGAAAAGAATTGCTTGAAATTGTTTACTTGATTATTATGTTCCATTAAGAAATAAAATTTAGCAACACTTCTATTTTTCTCCCTTCCCCCCTACGCTTAAGATGGAGTTTCTAATTATTAGTTTGGCACATTTTAATTTGTGTTTATACAATGCTGAGCTTTCCCTGATTTATAGTCTCACAGAAATCTCTGCTAAAGCATAAAAACGCACTTAAAACACATTGTATTCCCTTTACAGCCAATATGGAAGTGCCCTTTTCACACTCTCTGCAGCAGTTTCACATTATAATGTATATAACTTTAACAAATGGAGCATAATAAAGATATCACCCCATGGAGACTAAAAGATTGGGCTGCTGGGTATGTTCCCCTCACTAAATGAAAAGGTAGCCTTAGGCATAGGAGAACAATTGCATCTTGAGAAGGATTTGCTTCAATGTGCAATTCTGTATTTTATGTGTTATTTCTGAATAAACTAATACATACAGTCCTTGAAAACATGTGTAAATTAATACAAAATAAGTGCATGTCACAGCAAGCTTTATAGATGTTCTGCGCATAGTCTACATATTTGTCTGGTTAGATGTGACATACATAGAGTTTCCTATCCCCACTACACTACCTGTATGATAACGGGCTATATACTTCTCTTTATGCGGTATAGGGAAAAATAAATGGCCCAGAAAATATGTGTGTAGGTGGAAGGGAGAGTGGGGAAGAATGTTACCTTGGTGTGCTCCCTCCCACTCTCAGGGACTGCGGAAGCTGTTAGGCTACATATACAGACACAATTCAGAACTGATTTGAATCCTGCAGTTGCTCAGTTAACATTAAGTACAAAACATATCTTGTCAGGGAAAGAACCCTGATATCAATACAACTGTCTTCCACTATGGAGTGTGCTATTTGGTGCAAGGCAAATGGATCAGTGGTGTCACCAAAACCAAGTACACTGTCCCCACCTGGACAATAATGTGAGCCAATTTGCTTCTCAGTGTCTCCACCAAAAATTTTGCATGTAACATCACACACAGAGTATTAGTCTGTAAACAAGCTGCTAAATTAATTGGAAATCAATGAAAACCTAAATTCAGCTTTGCAGCTGAATCCAAATGTAGGTCCTTTGTAGTGGAGGTATTCAGAGATGCTCTTTTAAGCCTTTGCAGGTCTACAACTCCAGAGCAGTTTAACATATAAGTATAAAGCACCAGTAGAGGTGCATTTTTGCCTCAGTTCCCACATAGTGGAGGTTAGGCAAAGCAAGGCAGTATTCAGATTGTTAATTTGATTCTGATGGGGGAAGGTTATATCAAAGTTAAAGCACCAGTATCTCCTCCTGAGTTAATAGTCTTAATCCATCATCTTTTTTCTTCATGGTTTAATCTACTCTTTAAAATTTGAAGACTGAGCAAATTCTGCATGTGTCATCATGGCTCAAGGGTCAGAAAATCATTGCTTCAAGTAGCATTGGAGCAGTGTTGTAGCTGTGATGATCCGAAACATATGTAAGAAGCAAGGATTTTTTAATAGTTTTTTACTGGACGGCATGGTTGGGAGAGATTGGGAGAGACAAGCATTCAGATACACTCTCACCTTGTGCCCAAAAGCTTTTCTAATTCTCTCCCAACCATGCAGTTCATCCAATAAAAGACATGACCCACAAAAAATATACGTCCCAGAATGTGCCTCTCATTTTTTTTTCCAACTACTTTCCCATGAGTCTCATTCAACTCCCATTGAAATTCATGGAAACCTTTTCACAGGCTTCAAGACAGAGCTGTAGTCATGTCCATCAAACAGTGATTGAGGAAAAATATTCACTTAATTAAAAAAAAAAGGCTTACTCTGGCTGTGTCTATGCCCTTTGTAGCTACACATCCTTTGAATAACCTACTGGATGTGTTTTCCGGCAGAAATGTTTGGGGAAATGACAAACTGTAGCCAAACATTAGAAAACATTTGCAAAAAGCAAACTTTGACATTTTTAAATGTGAGTCTCCTCACAGGGACTTAGGTCTGAATTACTCATCCAGTTTGGGAATGGAAGGACGTGGGAAGTGGGGACCCACAGGGCTCGGTCCTTGGGCCCGCACTGTTCAATATCTTCATCAGTGATTTG